TATGGAGTTGACAAGCAAGGTACTTTTGTTTTGTTTTTATCCTGATGGCACCAAGAATTTGGAATTTCTACTTTAAAAAAATGCTTCTTCTTACAAAGGAAATGCGGTGTTTCCTAGGAGATGGTTTATTAAGGTGGAATGGAATGGACTAGAAAATCAATTAGATTCCTTCTGTAACTACTGTATAAACCAGTTTGTGCTGTCTTTGGTGTCCAGAGCAGCTCTTGTTGCATAGGAAGTGTAGGGAGGAGAGCATGGAACTGGAGTCATTTGTGGCAAAGGAGAGGAGCCTGCCATTGTGGCGTCTAGAAATCCATTAGATGGTGATTAATGGGGGGGAGGGGGAGAATGTTGCACCAGAAAAGTTGTTTCCTAGGGCAGTGAGCCTTCTGCAGTGCAGTCAGAAGGTGGGTCCTCTACATGACAGGAGTTCTTGCTGATGTTATCAGACTTTCAATACTTCCCCTGTCCCTGGGCACACCGTGAATCCCAGATGGGTTCCAGTTTCTGTGCACCTCAATGTGGAGATCGACCTTCTCTGTTTCTGGTCACTGGTTCAGAGTCAGGGCTTAGGAACATGTACTGGTCTTGAACGCTTTTGGACTGATCCCACAAAATAATTTCCAGTCCTTTGCAGATGGTTGCGTAGCAGATCTAAAACCACATCATTCTGATTACTATCTTGCTGTTATACTACTACAGTTGCAATATGATTTTAGTACTTCTTATTTCACAAACAGCTGAAATTCAACATTAATGCTGTGTGTCACTATGGAATTGAGAATCTTAGCTTCAAAGTGGTACAAAGCATTTGGTTTAGCCTTGGTGATAGCTGACCTTAAAATTTTCACTGGCGCATTCATCTAGCAGCGCTTCTGTGGCAGGACTGAACACAGTGAGGCTGGGACCTTGGACTAATGTAATTTTCAGTCCTGGCTGCACATTCTGACCTCCTGCTTCCATACCTTTTGAGATCAAGCGGTCTTGGCAAACTTACACCCAGATTGGAACAGACCCTGACTTCTCTATGAACTTGATATTTCTGAAGTGTTAGATCCTCATGAGTTTGACCCACCACACAGGAAAGGACAGGTAATTTCTTCTCCCGTAAGAAGGAACTGTTTAATTCCTCCTCCTGGAAATTGGCCTGGGCTTTGCGGTTTGGGTAGGGATGGCTGCTAGATGCCTCCCTCACCATTTCTGATGTAATTTTTGTTGTGTGTTTTTTTTTCTTTCCTTAACTAAACCAGCTGAAGCAGTCCCCAAAGAGCTCAGTGCAGGGTGTGCCAGCTGGCATGCCCTCTGGCTGGGAGGCCTTGTTAGAGAGATCAGAGCTGACAGATTCTTGAGCAGCGATTTGATACAGGCCTCTTTTTAATTTGTTTTTTTGCGCTCACCCATGTAACAAATGGGGGCTTGTTTGGGAGCGTCGCTGGACCATTGAATGGAGTCATTGTTATCCAAACACTCACATGATTCAGAAGTCCCCAGTGCAGGGGGTATCCTTCCCTCGTGCCCCTCAACTGGGCACTGCAGGTGCAGCAGGCTAGCTTAAATCCCAGGTCACCCCAACTTTAAAAAGAACAATCCAGTTGTCTTGCAGTTCTCCTTTTGAGAAGTGTAACCAGAAGACTGAAGGTGCAGTGCTGTGCTGTAGAGATACACGGTTCAGCACTGACAGGGGAGGGTGAATAGATGGGTAAATAGAATCAGGGAAGTGAACTAGTGCTGCTTTCCAGGCTGTTTTTTGAGGATGCACTGTCAGGCTTCCCTAAAGATCAGTGCCTCGGGCACTGTGGGATCTTCCTTGATAGTGGCCTCTGGGTTGCAAATTCTGTCCAATCAGCATTTATTTGGTAACCTCTATGCCCAGCCCATGGGCTCCTTGGCTTACAAATACCTCCCTACATTCTTCTTAAAGCCATCCTTGCAAGAAGAACCTCTTGTGCCGTGTATGTGGAGATGACGTGTGTCCCAAGGCAGGGGGATGAGGAAAAAATGAGCTCTGTGGTATGCAGTTGGCTTCTCAGTCCTAAAACCCCTTCTCACAGGCAGGATTGAGTATCCAAGGCCCCAAGTGGGGCATTTGTGTAAGCAGAGTAAAGGGCGTTTCTCATAGCAATTAATGCCCATTGACATGTGGGTTGTAATGCCTGGTAGACCCAACTGTAGAGCAGGAACTTCCCTGATAGAAAGGACATAGCACATTGGCTCTTTCTGTCCAGCTACTGTCCTCCCTTTTTTGAACACTGGCTCCTTTCAGTGCTATTCCATTTAATGTAAAGTACCTCCAGAGTTCTGGTGCCAAACAAGAGGGTGATGGTGCTGGGGCCCCCTTTGCAGTGTTAGTGCAGGAAGGCTCACAGTGGCGGGAGAAAAGTCATTTTCTTGAGTGTTTTTCAAACAGGGCCAGTGAGTTTTGGTGTTGCATTTTTGGATGTCCAACTTTGAGACACCTAAGAGCCTGATTTTCAGAGGTGCTGAGCCCCCCCACAGTATACTTATCTAGAATCCAGGCTTTCAAAAATAGTCAGTATGTCTGTGATGAAGGTAATGCAGCACCTTCCCGCTGGCTGGGCTGGACTTCCAAATCCAGCTCTGTCAGTGAAGAGGGCTGTCCAGGATTACAGCAGGAGATGGGGAAGCAGGATTCTTGGGTCTCTTAGTCCTGACCCTTCCACTGTGGCCTTGAGCAAGTCACCCTTGCTGTGCCTCAGTTTCCCCATGTGTAAAGTATGTCTTCTATCAGGTTTGGGGCCTCACTGTGTTAGCCACTGCACATACACATGCAAAAAAGTGGTCCCTGTCTCGATGAGCTGAGATCAAAAGGCATTGTGAATTTTAATGATAGTAAAGAGCATTCTGACCCCATTCCGCAGGTAAAAGATGGTGGTGCTATATATTTACATCATTATCAACCCACTTGCTTTGTCATCTCTGTCTCAAGTAATACCAAGAGCTTAGAAAGTAGCCTGGTGGGAACCTTTACAGTTTGACTTTTGGCCCCAGCTGTGAATTGATCTTTTCCCTGATGTAGTTTTTTTTCTATTGCGAAATGCACATTACAAAGTCAGCATCTTTTAATCATGAGCAGTTTCTCCTCTGGTGGCATTTGATTTTAAAGCCCTTCTTTGATAAACAGGCCCTGTGTCTGTTTTACAATCAGAGACAAATAGGGCTAATCAAATTACAAGTACATTAGAATAATAAAAATCAGAGCAAAAAGGCTAAAAAGAGGGAGGCACAGGGAAAAGGTGCTGAATGGTCCACTTCAGCAGCCCCTCATTTCTCTTCTCATTGTTGCTGGGAAACAGCTGTGACGTGCTGTGCCAGTTGCATAGGGTGAGGAGGGAATGTTTGTGTGTGTGTTGTGCATCTATGTGTTTTGGGTTTATTTGTGACTTTCAGAAAGAGCTCATTGTGAACATGTGACTAACTCCGTGTGGGACATCTGGTACTTCCTTGTGACAGGGCCCTGGTGCTTGCTCAGCATCTGCCTGGCTGGGAAGGGGTGGGTGTGCATGAGAGGGAGTGAGACCCATGTGCTCCTGTGAGTTCCTGGGAAGCTGCTTTGCATTAGGTAACCGTGTTTCTGGGAAGGAGAAAGAAGCAGTGATTTTGAAATCAGGGCAGCTCTTGTAAGTTCCCTGGTGTTTGCATCTTGGAAGGATTGGTGCTTGTCTGTCCTTGTGGGGATCTTTTCCTGTAAAAATAACAGCATGTGGTGAAACAAGGCTGCTGGTATAAAAATGACAGGAGAGCTGGGGATCAGTAATGAGATATACAGCTTTAACCTGTAACCTGGCCCAAATGCACCCAGGCTGTGTGGGACTGAAAGATGGCATGATGCTCTTTAGTGGTCTATGTGAAATGGAGAGGGAAGTGGGAGATGTAAGCAGGTGTTCCCACCCCATCACCATCCAGTCACTTGGCACTAATTGACCTTGTTGGCAGTCTCAGCAGAGACCAAAGATTGATTGAACTCCCCTCTCATCCTTAGAGGTGCCCTGGGAAGGCCTCCAGATCAGTATATGAGGCACATTGGTACCATGGGAAGGTTTGGTGATGCACATTGGTGATGCATCAAGGAGCCTGTTAGGTAGATCACTAGTCTCCAAGGTTGTCAGTCAGGCACATGTCACTGGCAGAGTGTGCATATGTTCAAATGAAAGCTGGACGACTCGCCTGAGCATCAGAGTTCCTATGCTGGGGAAAGGCATCACTGCTGGGCACCCTCCTCACGTATAAAAATGAAACTGCTGTCCCTGCCTTTGCCTTTTATAGCTCACGGTGTGCACACGGGGAGTACATGTCCTCTGTTGTTAAAATGACAGCATCCCTCAGGACTCGAGAAGGCATTAGCTTGAGAGCTCAGGAGGAGCAGGGTCTCCTGTGGGAATCAGGGCAGCCTCACGAAGCAGGAGCCAGGGAACATGGGATGGTGTCATTCCAAGGGTGGAGGAGCGAGAGAGCTAGCTGCAATTGGAGAGGCTTTCCCCTGGGAGTGGGGACCGCAGTAGCCCTAGAGTCCATAAGGAAGCAGGCAACGGGGGGAGGAGAGGAGAGGGGACGGACGTTATTATGACAAGAGCAGGTTAAAAGGGGGGAAGCGAGGCCCCGTGATGCTGCTGTGAGAGGGAGGCTTGGGTAGGAGGGGATTCCTCTCTTGTGCCCAGTGCCATAGATGGCACAAGGAGGGATAGGGGACGTCAAATGCTGCAGGCTCCTGGCATCACAGTGTGTGAGAATCCCAGAAGAGGGAACAGCACCATCTCTATTCCCTGCAGATCCCTTCCTAGAAAGCCCAACAGAGTCATTCCCCAGCTCACCTGAATTCCTTTACTGATGGTGCATTTCCTACCGCCAGCAGCTTGGTCTGATCTGTGACTGCCCTTCCCCTGCCTCCATGCCCACCTGCTACCCCAGCCCCTCTGATCCCTGTAGCCTGATAAATATTATGAACACTTACTGAAAGTCTCTCTCTCTCTCTTTAATTGCAGGTGTAGTCAGAAGGTGCCATCATGTGAATGGCAAGCGGCTAGCTGAGGAATAGACGCCAGGTGGGATTCCCCGGCTCCACACACAGCGCGCAGGATGGCTGACTGATTTGGGCTTGGAAACAAAGGCGTTTATAAGCACCCCGTCCTCTCTAGGACTTGGCTGAGAGAGAGGAGTGGCGGAGGGGGCAGCACACGGAGGAGCGATGGGAATTGAGGACCATGGTTACTTGAGATAAATGGCAGATCCCTGGGAGTCTAGTCTAGAAGCTGCTCGCTTTAGTTTTCCCTCGCTCTGCAGCCACTGTTTCTTCTTCGCGAGCTGCCGCTGGGTGCTGCCACGGTGGCGCTGGAGATCTCCAGGGCGACTTGAGTGCAAAGCTTGAGGAGGGGGTGGGCCGCCCGCCTCACCATGATTCAGCTGTGGAAAGTGGTGCGGCACGTGCGACAGCTGGAGCTCCACAGATTGATCCTGGTGCTCATTGCCTTCAGCCTGATCTCCATGTGCTTCCTGGCCTACTATGTTACCAACAGCCCCAAAATCAAGGAGCCACTGCCCCTGCCCTTCAGCGACTGCAGCAACCAGCACAGGGTCCCGATCCCACCCCAGGCCAGCTGGAGGCTCACCAAATCCGTTGACACCTCGCGCACTGAGCCTGTGGTGCTAGTCTTTGTGGAAAGCATTTACTCCCAGCTGGGGCAGGAAATTGTGGCCATCCTGGAATCCAGCCGGTTTAAATACAGGACAGAGATTGCCCCTGGCAAGGGGGATATGCCCACCCTGACAGACAAGGACAGGGGCCGCTATGCTCTTATCATCTATGAGAATGTCCTTAAATATGTGAACCTAGATGCTTGGAATCGGGAGCTGTTGGACAAATACTGTGTGGAGTATGGAGTGGGGATTATAGGGTTCTTCAAAGCCAATGAGAACAGCTTGCTCAGTGCTCAGCTCAAGGGATTCCCCCTTTTCCTACACTCTAACCTAGGGCTCCGGGACTATCACATCAACCCCAGTGCCCCTCTGCTCTACATCACTCGGGCCAACGAGGTGGAGCAGGGTCCCCTGCCCGGTGACGACTGGACTGTGTTCCAATCAAACCACAGCACCTATGAGCCTGTGCTCTTGGCCAGTACAAAGTCTTCAGAATCCATTCCTCACCTGGCCACCCACAAAGCACTGCATGCCACTGTCGTGCAGGACCTGGGTCTGCATGACGGGATCCAGCGGGTCCTCTTTGGCAATAACCTCAACTTCTGGCTGCACAAACTTGTTTTTGTGGACGCCATTGCTTACCTGACTGGCAAGCGCCTCTGCCTCACGCTTGACCGCTACATCCTCGTAGACATCGATGACATATTTGTGGGCAAAGAGGGCACTCGCATGAAGGTGTCTGATGTGGAGGTAAAGCCTGAAGGGATAACCCAGTGGCACCTAAATAAGGCCCCTTGGTCCAATGAAGGGCTACATTGGCAATCTGCCAGGAGCTGCAGGGCTGCCCCTAAGATTGCTGCAATCGTAGAACTGTAGCCCATGCAGATTATATGTCCCAGCATATGATGCTTTCAACAGAGGCTGCCCAGATCAAGATGCAGCATTGAATTCTGGGACCTGTAGCCTTCATGGGCTGCACTTTACTCCTGAGGGAATTCTGCACCAAAAAATTAAAATTTCTGTGTACAATATTTTAAAATTCTGCAAGTTTTATTTGTCAATAAATAAATATGGAGACTGCAGCATGGCAGTGGGAGCACAGGCCACTGGCTGCATGAAGGTGGGAGATCACCCTGCAGCCTCCTCACCTCCCACCCCGGGGACACGGACTCAGTGGTGAGGCTGCAACCGCCTCTGACACAGCACAAGGCCTGGGCCTGCCCCAGAAACACACTGGGGCCCTGCCCTTCTGCACCAGGCGCACCAGGTATGGGGCAGGCAGACTTAACCAGGCAAGATCCAAGTGTGGAGGGGCTCAGTGTGGGGGGATCCAGGTGTGGGGTGAGAGGATTATGTGTGGGACAATCTGGGTGCAGGCAGCTCAGTGAGGGTCTAGGTGTGAGGGGATCTGGATGCACAGAGGCTCATTGGGGGGTTCTAGGTGCAGGGGCAATGGGACTGCAGGGGCTTCCAGGTGAAGGTGGGTGGGGCTCAGTGGGGGGTCTGGGTGTGGGGTCTCAGCAGGGGGGCCTGGGTCCTGGGGGAGTGGGGCTTGGGGTGGGGGGTCTGGTGCAGCTGGGTGGGGTTCTGGATGTGTGGCCTCAGGGAGGTGCAGGGGGGTGGGTCTCATGGTGAGGGTTTGAGTGCAGAGAGCTCAGTGGGGGGTGGTCTGGGTGCAGAGGTGGGGGTCTGGTGCAGGGGGGCTCCAGATGCAGGGGTTGAGTTTCAGTGGGATGGGCTTTTGGTATGGAGGGCTGAGGGTGGTGGGTCCCTCAGGAGTAGCACTTGTAGGTTAAAGGTGAGAATGACTGCAGCAGTCTACTCTTTCTCATCTTTAATATAGTGATGGAGTCCATGGGGGTCCCAGAATGCAACTTGATCTGAGCAGCTCCATCTTGATTTGAGCAGCTTCTGTTGAGAGCATCACATGCAGAGAAGCCTAATGTTCTCTCTCAGCCCCAAAGGCTGGCACCTGGCACACCAACCAATAAAACTGCTGCAGTCTAGTGTTTAATCCTCCTGTGACCTTTCAGGACAGCACTTGGGAGAGTGGGGAGCTCTCTTGTCACCTCAGGTTACTCACCTACTCCTCTCAGCTCATCTGCCCCCAGTTCTGCAGATCACCTGTTGTGTAGGGAGTAAGGAGTGTCCAGCAATCCGGAAATAAGGGTCAGCGGAGATGCACAGAGCAGCTCCCAGAGCTCAGGCCAGGAGCTCTCCCCTTGGCCTCACTGCTGGGGAGGAGTCTGAGGGGGCCCATTTTGGGGGTTTCTTGATCGTGGCCCTGAATGACTGGGTGGTGATGACATAACTGAGGAATGAGTCAGAAAAGGACAGGACAGGGAGAGAGTGGGGTGGAATCTGGAGAGTGGGGTGGAATCTGGACAGGAATCTATTTAGGTGTGGCATTTCCTGTGTTTCTGCATTTGCCTTTGTACTGTATGTGCTTTTACCTAGCGCAGAGAATCAGGGACTTTAAATGAAGTGATCGGGCTATCCTGCTGAGCTACTATATCTCATCTGTTATTTAAGAACTGCCCTATAATACTTGAACATCTATCTAACCCTCCTCAAAGTTACTCTGCCATCCATTGAAACTGTAATTGATGGAATTTCGACTAAAAATCCCATCCTCTCATCCCTTCAAAGTGTTACTGGTTCGTACTATGTGCAGAAAAGTGGTCTTGTTCAGTGTTACATGGCTTGCTGTCATATGTATGGTCACTCCCACCTAATGCTTCTTCTGGTAAAATTGTCTCTTGCAAGGGGACTGACTGTCTTTTGTGTTAAGTTTCTGTGTCTGCAGGGAGTTCAGTTAGGGTGACCAGACAGCAAGTGTGAAAAATTGGGACAGGGGGTGGGGCGGGTAATAGGCGCCTATATAAGACAAAGCCCCAAATATCGGGACTGTCCCTATAAAATCGGGACATCTGGTCACCCTTAGTTCAGTATGTGCTGCTACTTTGTCTGGTGACCTTTTTTTTTAAAATTGTTTTTTATATAGGAAATAGCAATAATTTCCTGAAGATCTTGTGAATGTGAAAGAAAAACTGAAATGTTTTTATGGAGTGTAAAATAAAAGGAAATGAGGGTGGAAGGGAGATAGAGGGAAACACAAAGGGGGAGAAAGAGAAGGCACAAGCCTCGGACCAGGGAGCAGGTATTGTAAATAAATCATTAATTGTTTTGCTAAGTGGTTGCTGACAGTATGTGCCAAACAATTATTTCTGTATGTGTACACACTCACCTTGGGGATGCACTTACACCTTGCCCCAGGCACTATGAATCCTGGTTGCAGCTCTGTGTTTTGGGACACTCAGATGTCATGAAAGTCTAGCTCAAAGGACACTGGTCTACATTATCCCAGCCAGGACACCCCTCCCCAAACTGGGAAAGGTGGGGACCCCATTCCTAGCCGTGCAGAGCACTGACCCTGGGAGGGAAGCAGGAGACAATTGGCCTAAGCCCTGGAGACAGGACACAAGTCTGTTCTAATGATTTTAAAAACCAACCAGACCAGATAATTCTAAAAGATGTTTCATTTTGGGTTTTAACTGTGAAATGGAGGAATAATCTGAGATCAGTAAACAGAGAATCTCAGGCAAAGCAGATAAAGCCCAGATTTATCCATTTAAAAGAGACTCTGATTGCAGCACCAGGAGAGGTTCATGAATTTTTATTTTCTTCTTCGAGTGCTTGCTCATATCGATTCCAATTAGGTGTGTGCGCGCCGCGTGCACGATCATCGGAGAATTTTCTACCCTAGCAACACCCGGTGGGTCGGCTGTGGAGCCCCCTGGAGTGGCGCCTTCATGGCGCTGGATATATACCCCAGCCGACCTAGCGCCCCCTCAGTTCCTTCTTACCGCCCCTGACGGTCGTTGGAACTGTGGAGCGCGGCATAGCTGTTCTCCGCTCTCCCTAGCTTATCCGTCAATTTTGTAGATAGTTGTAGTTATAGTTGTTATATAGTCTTTAGATAGTTATTCGTTTTAGTTTGTTATAGTTGTAAATAGTTAGCGGGGGTTAAGGGGGTCGTTCTCCCCCCTTTCCCCCGGCGCATGGCCGGGCTCATGCCCAAGGCTCCTGGCTTTAAGCCGTGCGCGTCCTGCGCTAAGCCTATGCCCACGAGTGACCCGCATAACTCCTGTCTGAAGTGCCTCGGAGAGTCCCATCAGGCAGATAAGTGTCAGTACTGTAAGGCCTTCAAACCAAGAACGAGAAAGGAGCGGGACTTTAGGCTCAGGCAGCTCCTTATGGAGGCGGCACTTAGCCCGGATCCTCCCTCAGCACGCCCAGCCCCGGCACCGAGCGCCTCGGTGCGCAGCGCCCCGGCGACACCGACTGGTACTGCACCGCGGGCTGAATCAGACAAGCCCTCACGGCACCGGCCTCCTTCGGCACCGCACCCACCACAGGGGCCTCGGCGCCGCTCCCTGTCTCCGGGGCACAAGAAGTCCCGTAAGGCGCAGGAGACTGCTGTCCTGAAGACGCCGGCTCCCCCGGTGCCGGGGGTAGAGCCGCGTCCGCCCTTGGACCGCCAGAAGCAAGTCCCTGCTACACCGTCGACTCTGGCACCGCGGCCGTTGAGTCCGGTGCGCACAGAATCACCACCTCGGTCGGTAGTGGAGCCCTGTCTTCCTTCCACCCCGGAGACGTTCGCAACGGCCAGAGACCTTATTGCGCTCACGGAGCCGGCACCGCCTCCACCTCCGGCACCGTTGGCTCTCCGCGCAGTACAGTCCAGGGGCAAGCCTGCCCTGCTGCGCCCGCCGTCTCCGGCCAGGGACTCCCGGCACCGCTCCAGATCTCGGAGCAGGTCCCGACGCCGCTCGCAGTCCCGGCGCCGACTATCACCTCGGCACTGGTCGTACTCGCGGCCAAGATCATCTTCGCGGCACCGCTCTACGTCTCGGCACCGTCACGATCATCAGTACCGATCGGACTCCAGACGTAGTTCTAGGCACCGGTACGAGCGTCGCTCGAGTTTGAGGGGCCGCTCCCGGTACCAGGTCTCGTCGCGGTCGTCGTCCCGCTCAAGATCCGGATCTCGGCACCGGCAGGGCTACCGGCACCGATCCCGGTACCGCTCACCGGCACCGCGCACGGACCGATCACCTTACGACCGGCACCGATGGGCACCGTACCATCCGGAGCCGGTTTCGACGCGTTTGGCACCACCTTGGCCCTCGAGATCAGCATCTCGTTCCTCCGATGGGGCCTCCAGATCGGCATACCCTCCTCAGGGTCAGGCTGCTACGGCTGACTTGGGCCATTGGCAGGAGGTGGCCAAGGACCCTGCACAGGGACCTGCGCACTGGTCTTTTTGGACCCCGTGGGCCTATCATCAGGCGCAGGGGGCTCCACCGCCATCAGCCTCTCGCTCGGCACGTTCTGAGCCGAGGGCCCCAGAGGCCACCATCTCCCGCCCTCCCCCCGGGGGCATGGAGGCTCCCGTGCCCACACCACCTCAGGCCCTGGACCCAGGGGCAGGCGATGCCCAGCTTCAGGAACCCCTGGAGCAGGACCCGCCATTAGACCCCTTGCCACCAGAGGCATCCTCCTCATCTTCCCCAGATGAGGCGGTGGCGGGCACAACCGCCACAGGTCCGCCCCCGATAGACCTTCGGGCCCACCAGGACCTATTGCGCAGGGTGGCGCGTAATATGGATCTCCAGGCAGAGGAGATAGTAGAGGTACAGGACCCAGTGGTGAGCATCCTCTCGGCTGATGCCCCATCCAGGGTGGCA